TATATATACCTTAATATACAAATTTTAAAAAGAGGGAAATCAGAAAGATTTAGTAAACATTCACACACAGAAATGAAAATGAAAAGAAAACCCACAAACAAAATGAACTCAACATCGAAAATTATGTGAAACAAAGATTTCAGCAGCACTAAAAAAAAACAACACATAAGAGTGACAGCAACAATTCATAACTATTGATAATTACAGTGAATGTAAATAGATTAACATACCAGGTAAGAGACATGGAGAGCAGAATGGATAAGAAAACAGGATCCATCAATATGTTATATACAGGAGACATATCAAAAAGATGGAGACAGCCCATCAACAAACTTTGGTACATACACAAAATGGAATACTACAAAACATTGAAGAATAATGATGGCTCTGAAACACCTCACAACATGGTTGAACCTGGAGGACATTATGCCGAGAGAAATTAGTCAACCACAAAGGAACAAATATTGTATGAGACCAGTGTTGTGAAAAGTTAAAAAGAAAAAGATTTCCTTGACTAAACAAACAATCTTTGATGGTTACAGGGTTGGGAAGAGAAAATAACTCACGGCTAGGGGTAGACACATGTTAGCATTAGTGACAGGACAGGCAATACACAACAAGAGGGAGGTTAGCAGAGCAAAGATGAAGTTACTGGAGACACAAGAAGAAACACAATAGTTAAAGTGAATAGAGGTTAATACTGTTCATTGATTGCACATGTTATGAAGCAAAGTATACGATTTGTTCAATGTGAAACTGATGGGTTGCTCTTTAAACCTTCACTCAATTCAAAATAAAAAGTTGGGGGGAAAAAAGATTAACAACCTAAGAAAACTCTGTGGAGCAATTCTCCTGTAGGGTCACGGTTAAAAGAAAAACAAAGATGGCCAGACATTAGGAGAAATCCAACTAAGCAAAACTTAGAAGAAGCATTAAAGCAGAATTAAAACTACATGCAAACACAGACTCCATGATACGACAGGGCCTCAAAAAGCTCAAGGAGAAATTCCTTCATCTTTCATTTCCACAAACTTTGAAGCTCCCTCACACTTATACTAATTTTACCCAACTAAATTGTGTATACACAAAATGTAAATCTTAAACATTGATCGAGTTGAATACAGAACTTGGTCAGAGGAAAGGCAAGAGAATGTGAGTGCCGACACGTGGGTGAGCTGTTGACAAAGGATGACTTCTGGTTTTTCTGTAAAGACACTGCTGAGAGGGTCCCGAGGAAGCAGGTACTCGGGTGCCGATGTGCATGTCGATAGAAAGAAGCATGTGAGAATGTTGAAAGAGTTAGCAAATCTTTTCCGTCTGGCCAAGTTGTTAAAACCCAGATTTAGTGTCCCTTTTCAAAAAGAACTTCTTGTGGTATTGCTAAGAAGGAGGGAATGAGCTGGTTCCGAGGTTTGTCAGCAGCTTACGAATATGTATGTTTTGAGTGTAATAAGGTAGGTGCTATTTTTGTTTGCTTTCATTTGTTTTTCTCAAGAACAGGTCATAATATTAAGAAGGAAATAAATGATTGTTTGTATCTATTACTGTGCTTTGCATATGAAACCGGAATTCATTGTATGCATTTAACAAATACAAAGCACCTCCTGTACCTGGCTCTCCTGGGTATGGTCCCTGATGTCTATAAACAAGCCAGAGTCTAACCCACTGCTATCAGGTTGATTCTACCTCATCATCACCTTGTATAGCGTTTCCAAGACAACCTTGTCTTCCTCCCAGTGAGTCCGGGAGGGGGTTGTGTGAATCAGCAACCTAGTCCACAGCCCCACCAGGGCTAAATATTAATACTTAATGAATAATTATGTGCATCCATATGAAACCGTACTTGTGTATGTGAATCTAAGGGTCAATAAGTGATGGGTCGTCAGGGACCCCTGGATGAAGACAAGAATGAGAATGTAATAAACACGCTGGCCCTGATTGGCATTTGCCTTCAGCAGGAGGGCAGGTTGGGTGAGGCTGGTTCCAGCTCACTGAGAGGTGAGAGGGGCACAATAAAAGGTATAGAGAAGTGGAGGAAAGACTCACAGGTGAAGTAGTGGCTTCCTGTGAAGGTGTCAGTTGTAGAAAACTGATGAACATTGTTAAAGGAAGTAAGAAGTTTGCAATAGAGCCAGAGGGAGCATACACGGAAAGCCCGCACATAAGGACTCGCCTGTGTTAGGTGAGAAGGTGAGAGGGAGGTGTGTGAACTAACCGGAAAAACCTATAATGTTGGTTTGGAACAGCAACATGAGGAATGAAAACCAGTTACCACAATAGCATTGCCGTGTCTGCAGAACAACGCAGTATGGTGAGTGTTATTGTTGGGGGCCACCTCTCCATCTGACTTACAGTCACCCCCTGTACAACAGAACCAAGGGCTCCCTAGTCCTGCACCCTCCTCACAATTGTTACTGTGTATGAGCGCTTGTAGGTCCACCTTGTTGAGGGTCTCCCTCTTTCCACTGATCCTCTTCTTTGCCTAGCATGAATAGTGTGAATAGTCAAACTCACTGGTGTTTTCTCCCCATTTCAGCACACCTAAAGAACGGCAAGAAATACAGAACCCAAATTTTACTGCACCTGGTCGGCAATTCCTGTCCAAGGCTCGTGTCTTTGAGCATCTGGCTTTGGAAAACCCTTCAAGCAATTTATCCGTGTCAGGACGGCTCCCTCCTAAAGTTCCTGCCCCCGGAGATGAAAAAATGAAGGCCGCCATGGTCTCCGGCAAACGGACCAAAGTCTTTGTTCCACCGTTTAAAATGAAATCACATTTTCAAAGGAACGAACAGTGTGCTACCTGGAAGGTTAATTTGGAAGAAGACAAACAAACACAGCAAAGTACAATCGAGCCTGGTGCTGTTGGAAATACCGTTCATGTCGGTGGGCTTCGTCCCTCTCACCAAAACCACTCCAGCCAGGCAGCATGTGCAGAAGAACCTTCAGGTACTGGGTTTGACACGATTCTCCCTTTGGGTTGGTTGATTTCTCCTATTAAATAATGTCCTGAGGGGTTTCCCCTTTTGTGACAATGAATCATTTCAAAACCTTCTTAATACGGTGGATTTTTCTAAATCCGAAGTCTAAGTTAAATTGTTAGGTTTTATTTCTACAACAACCACTTACTTGTTGAAAATAAACATTAGTAGTTTATTTCGAGGACTTCTGGACTGGAATATATTTTCTGTTAGGTTACTCATCTATGTTTGAGAGAAAAATCATTGATCTCTTTTTAGTCTTTATACCACTTTGCAATCTGAGAAAGTTTGCATCCCTGAAGGTTTAAAAAGTGAAGAGGAGAAGTGCTTTCTCTGCATTTAGAATTAAAGAAAATTGATCTATACAAGGATGCCTCAAAAACTTCTTGGAAAACATCCATTAGCTTGCAGCTCCATTTTTGCACACATTTTTTGAAACCCTTCATGTAATATAGACTGCCCTACTATCTGCTAATTACTTTGTCTCTGCTAGATTGCATTACGGAGCTTCAGAATGCCCGAGAGGCACAGGACGCCCGGGTGAGAGTGAAGCAGCGGCAGAGGGTGTACCCACAGCCAGGCAGCCTGTATCTCGCAAAAACATCTTCGATGTCGAGAATCTCCCTGAAAGCAGCCGTCGGGGGTCGAGTCCCCTCTGCATGCTCCCATAAGCAGGTGTGTTCCCGCCTACGGTCCTGCCTTTACTCCTCAGCACAGTGGCCCCTTCACACTGTTCTCCGGAGAGCTGAATGGATGGCTGCCAGCATGAGTGGCTGGGACTGAGGCTCGTCAGCATCGCGGATAGAACACCATCGCCCCAGAAAGATTTACAGGCTTGAGAACCTGGTAGAGCAGGGGTTGTTGTTTCTGACGCAGAACAGTCCTGTAGGTAGGGTTTCTGAGGCGCTACCGGTGAGTTGGACCCACCAACATTGTGATTCAGACCAACCTTACGCTCCAGTGCCTATCCTACAACACCGTACCAGGACTCCAGACCAGGGCTGGGGAACCTTTAGTCTGCCAAAATTTGTGTCATCATTCAATGGCCTTACAAAATTATCAACTTAAAAATTAGCCTACTCTATTTGGTCAAACACTGAATTAGCTCACCCCTAATGGAATAAGGAGCTCTGGTAGCATAGTGGTTTGGAATCGGGCTGCAAACTGCAAGGTCAGCAGTTCAAAGCTACCAGCTGTTCTGTGGGAGAAAGATGAGGCTTTCTGCTCCTGTAAAGATTTACAGCCTTGGGAACCCTGTACAGGGTCTCTATGGGTCAGAACCAACTCAATAGCACACACCCACCATGAGCACCATCCCCATCTCTGCTGTAGAAGGGTGCCATGAGTTGGAATCCACTTGATGGCAGAGGATTAGTCGGCCTAAAGGGTCCTTGATGACACAGTGGTTAAAATGCTAGCCATCAGGCCAGCAGTTCAAACTCAACTGCTGTTCCCCAGGAGAAATCCTATCAGGCAGTTCTCCTCTGTTCTGTAGATTCAGTGTGAGCCTTACTGGATCCAGCAGCAATGGGGAATGGGAATCATTACATTAAGGAGCGCTGGTGATGTTCTGGTTAAGCACTTGACAGCCAGCAGCTCTGCAGGAGAAGATCTGCGATCTGTTTCCAGAAGATGCCGCCTGGTGGCTCTGCACGACAGGCTGCCTGTGTGGCAGAACCCACTCAGCAGCCATGGGTTTGGGGTTTGTGGCTGATCAGTCTCAGGAGGAGCCCTCCCCCTCATCTCAACTCACCCACCTTCTGCTGAGTCTGTGGTTCACAGTGGTTCACAGTGACTATTGCGACAAGTACCTTCTTGTGTCTGCAATCCAGGTGTGAGCAGCTCACAGCCCTGAACGTTTAAGAGCAAGCTAAGAGGCTGCAGATTAACGCACCTTACGTTAGTAATATTTTAGGCCGTGGGGGAGTGACATGCTATCACTGACTGAGTGCCCTCTGTGTGCAGGCCATGCTGCTTAGCTCTGGACAGGTATCGGATGTGTCTTGCTTAATTCCCACAATCACCTCACGAGTAAGTGCTGGTGGTACTGTTAGTGTCATTGAGTTGGTTCCAGCTCGTAGCTACTCTGTATAGCGATGCCGAGTACTGTCTGCTGGACTTGAACTGCTGAATAGCAGTTGTGGGTTAAACTAACTTGCAGTGTAGTGCTAACCCTATGGTGCCACACTAGAACTCTTATATACTCTTATATGCATCCACTCAAGACGCCCTGTGTGACAGGACTGCCCTACAGGGTTTCCTAGGCTGTCATCTATCGTGTCACTATATACTCATATATACTCTTATAGATCATCCACTCACAGCGCCCCCTGGTGTAACAGAG